ACTTTTTGTCGGAAATATGAGAGATATTGAAAAACTGTTTACGTCATTCTATTTGTACTGATCTTGTCTATATTATTTATAATGAATAATGTTAAAAAATTGTCATTTACTGGATGAAAAGTTGAAAATAAGTTTTTATTTGAAATTTTCGACCAGTACGGTTAATTTGACTACTTTCTAAATAGCATCATTTTAAAGCCTGTATATTTTACTTTTATTATCCAAAATTATATTTAAATCGAAGTGGAACTTTTTATAAAAAGTTGAAAAAACCGAAGGTAGTACACGCGGAACCCATAGAATATCCGTGTAAGTAGCGTCTCTCAATAGCAAACCAGCGCACATTGCGCTTGGCGCGCATCGGAACATATTCTATATAAAGGTAATACTTATTTAAAAAATAAAACTAGATATATATATTTATGTCTTTTATATTCAAACTAGTTATATATTTATATACAATTTTTTTTGTTTTGAAATTATACCTAAAACTTTATTTGCTTTTTATATTTTATATTTTATATTGTTACTGTATATTATTTTATAACGATAGAAATACATAAATAAATAGTCACTATATTTACCATAGTAATATGGAAGTTAAGTTACGAAGTTATTAAGACACTTTTAATTGTAGTCGCTATCATTTTTAATAGAAACTGTAAATAAATAAATCACTTGTACTATCCGATAAATTAATAATATTGCATACGCCACTAGAGTTTCTATAAGAAATTAGTCTACACACAGCACACAAAATGTCACCAATAACAACTGTTTTTCCTGTAGAACTACTGTACAATTGTGCATCATCCTCGCTTACAATGTTTTTTTTCTGACTACGATTTTTAAACACTTGTTTATCGCAGATTTTGCAATTTACCGGCATTATTGTTTCTATTAAGATTATAATTCTGAAATTACTAAAATACCCACTAAACCACCAAGCTCACTAATTGTCACTTGGTCTTTTTTTACCCCAAAGGCGTGGTAAAATCGGACGGCGAGAGGACAAACAATCCAATTTACTATTTTAATTTTAAAGGGATTTAACGAAATAATAGCTACATTACTCAAACAATGAAAAATATGAATATTATAGATACATTTTTTACAGAGATAACTCTGTATATAATCTTGATTTGATATTTTGTCCAAAATAATCACCAGCAGAGTTGAAATGCAGATTTATTTAATTTATCTTTTGTAAAAATGCTTTTTTTAACGTCGTAAGAGTCAGGGTGATGGCTAGTTGTACATTTTTTCCTCTACTTTCAAATATTGTTGTTAAGAAACCCTTAACTTTACTTGTTTTTGAGATATTGGTGGTGGACCTTTTTACCCGCAAATCTTTAAGCCCCGCTCTATCTTATATATATATATATATATATATATATATATATATATATATATATTTGTTACATACTCATTGAGGACTATAAAAACTGTTCAATTATGACCTCCCCCTGACGCCGAAGCTGGATCCGCCACTGCCAATACCATTCCCAACTAATATCTTTCGAACAGTTTTTGATTTTTTAAAATCGGTTCGGTAGGATGAGCTTAAATGTGGACGAAAATTTAACACTTTTTTTCAACAGTTAATTACAGGAAAACGGCTTGGTAGATTTTCACCTAAAATTAACCAGTACCATTCCCAACTAATATCTTTCGAACAGTTTTTGATTTTTTAAAATCGGTTCGATAGGATGAGCTTAAATATTGACGAAAATTTAACACTTTTTTTCAACAGTTAATTACAAGAAAATGGCTCGGTAGATTTTCACCTAAAATTAATCAGTATCATTCCCAACTAATATCTTTCGAACAGTTTTTGATTTTTTAAAATCGGTTCGGTAGGATGAGCGTAAATGTGGACGAAAAGTTTAATACTTTTTTCCAAATTACAAAGAAACGGCTCGGCTGATCGTTGCACAAAACTGAGAAACGATAATCCTCATCGAGATACATCAAATGCTTTTTAAATATCTGAAATCGGTTCAGGCGTTTTTGAGAAAACGTCGATGAAAATTCTAATTTTGACAAATGCCAAAACGACCGTACTAATTTTTGCAAACTTTGACGAATTTTTAAAGCTAAACGAGTTGTCATAGGGCCGTAATATTTTAGTATGATCTAGAAGACTGTGGTAATTACCATCGAAAAAAAAATCATAAAAATCGTCGAAATTTTTTTTTTAAAAACTTTATTACAAGAAAACGGCCCGGCCGATCTTTACCAAATACTAATCAGCACGATTCCCAACTAATATCTATCGAATGGTTTTTGAATTTTCGAAATCGATTCAGAATTGCGGGCTAAAACGTGGACGAAAAATTTTTCACTTTTCTGCAATTTACAAAGAAACGGCTCGGCCGATCGCCGCACAAAACTCAGAAACGACAGTCCTCATCGAGATACATCGAATGACTTTTAAATTTTTGAAATCGGTCCAGCCGTTTTAGAGAAAACGTCGATTTACGGCAAAAAATCTGTTCACACACACAACATACACACACACACATACACATACTTTTTCCAAATTTGGTCTCATTCGATTCAGAATGGCTTGAAACGTCGAGAAAACATAAAATTAGCGATTCGCATTTTTTGATGAAAACATAAACTTCTCCTTCGGGAAGTTAAAAATGGAATGGATGCATTTCGATTATTAATTCCGTCTAATACTACAAAAATAAATTCTAGAGGGTCTTGGTTTAAATAACGAGTTGAGTAAAACTTAATTTTCGGATACTTTATCTTACTGCCAAATATTTTAGAAACCTTTTATTGTTTTAATCTAATTTTGAATAGTTGGAGATAGTTTTGGTCTTCTCGTCATGGTTTAAATAACTAGTTGACTAAAACTTAATTTCCGGATACTTTATTTTTACTGCCAAATATTTTAAAAACCTTTTATTGTTTTAATCCAATTTTGAATAGTTTGAGAGAGTTTTTTATCTTCTCGTTTTTTTTAAAGAAGCTAAGACACGTCTAGCTTCTTTACAAAATGCTTAATGGTTAGAATCGGCTAGAGAGCTCTTCATAGAGCTTTACAGTTTTTTTTTGCAAAACTGGAAGCTTATTGTGAATGATGAATTTTAATTATGAATTCAATAGAATACATTTTACATTATTTTTACTTTCTTACTTTGCTTAGTAGCGTATATCTATAAGAGAACTCTGCGGTAGTCCCTCACTCTCATCTTCCTCATCTTTTCAGTATATACCTTATGTGATCGCAAATCACAGCGCATGCGGAAAAGTGGCAACTTTGAATCAATTTCATACAATTTGATTATACGATTTCAGGATGTCCTTTTCTGTTGATTTTGTTGTATGAAAGTTACAACATATGATCAGGCTTTCAGTTTCTTGCTCGCCAACAAGAGAACCCTGAAGTTTGTAAATTAGACAACATGTTTATTGCAGATACATCTGTTGCGTGTGCATCACATACGGTAGCTACAATATTGATACCAATTGCTTGCCGGTTTGAAATTGCAGGCCTTTGAGTTCAGAACTTTTAACATTGCTTTCAGCGAAGAAGTATGCCACTGATTATTTGAAATAGCCTCGAATTCTTTAAACGTTGAATACCAAAGCAAAATCAACAAACTTCTCTCGCAGACTTTCTCAAAGCCATTCATGCTGTACTTACTATTGTCATATTCAATATATTCTGAAATGCCAATTTAATCAAACAGTTTCTATTAGATGGACACATCCTGAGAATAGAATTTGTACCACCATCTTCACAAGCTCTAGTGCTTGATGTTGGTTTTAATTTCCTGGATTGATTTTATTGCTGAAAAGACGCGGTTGTATGCTTTTCTTACCTTTTTCTATTGTATTTCTCAATTGTATTTCGCTTTAAAGGTCATAAACTCTTTTCAACACTGCACCTCTACTGAGCCAGTGTACTTTGGTATTGAAGATAACATTGCTATGATTTCCAAATTGCTTAGGAATTCTTTGAACTCATAGTGATTTGAACCCCCATGACTTCATAAAATTTAGTAATTTAATTACTATGAAGTAAATTTAATTTCTTTCACACAAACTTTCTCGATGAATTATCCAGTGGTTACCAAATATTTCTTTTCCTGTGTTAATGTTTGGGTAAAGTCTTTCCGCTACTTCTACATTGATATTGCTGGTGGTGCCCATCTGTTGATATACTAATTTATTGAATTATCTGTTGATATACTTTTTATTGAATTTTTTTCATAATTTGTTATAAGGGTCTTAAGAGGTTGTAATCCCTTGCATAGGAACTAGATAACAAAACTCTTCAGTAATATTGAATTCAGTATCAATACCACGTATAGATATAGCGAGTTGTGCTGTGTCGCTAATGTCACAACTTTTATCAAGTGCCACAGAACAGTATTCAAATTCAGCAATGCGTTCACGAAGCGTTATTGCTTTTGTATAGAATGATCGAACATGCCTTTTAGTTCCCTGAGCGTGGACAGGAATTTTAGTCACTTCAATACCTACTAGCCTTTGTGAGCCCCAGTCAAAATGTTTGGAAGAATGGAAGATGATTTACAATTGTTTGCATGCTTGTTGGTTTTCTCAAATATCAATAATGTTTTATCGTAGATCTTTCAAAATTGGAGTATGCAGTTGGCAGAGAAAATTGTGACATAAATTTAACTACAGACGAAATGTCTGTTGAACACCTACAATTTATATCGTAGGAATTTATATAGTAGGAATTCTCCTTTTTATTTAGAAGATTTTTCTCGAAATGGAACATTCATAAATGGTGAAAAAGTTGGCAAAGGAAACCGAAGAATATTGCAAAATGAAGATGTTATAGCAATAGGTAGTGATTTCAGAAAATTGTTTAGATTTTTTGATCGTTTCACGCATACTGTGCATAAATCCCAAATCTCATCAAAGATGACTACTACATTTCTCGTGAGCTTGGAAGCGGTGCATGTGGTGTTGTGAGATTAATATTTAACAAAAGGACATGTGATAAATTTGCTATGAAGCAGATCATCAAGAGTAAAGCAGATGATGAAAAGAAATTAAACCATCCTAATCGTATTATGAATGAAATTAATATTATGAAAAAATTAGATCATCCATTCATAGTTAGTGTCTACAACATTGTTGAAACTCCTGAAGCAGTATTTTTGGTATTGGAACTTATGAATGGAGGTGATTTATATAATAAAATTAAAGAGTCAAAATATCTGAAAAAAACAATTGTTAAGAATATTATATACCAAATAGCTGTTGCTGTTAATTACTTACATCGGCAGAACATTACACATAGAGATTTAAAACCTGAGAATATTCCGTTACAAAGAAATACTATCAGAGAATTGTTACTATCAAACTATCAGAGTAAGTAAAATTGTTGAAGGTAACACAGTGTTAAAAACTGAATGTGGTACTGCATGGTATGTTGCTCCCGAAGTGATATTGAAGAATTATAAAACTTATACTGAAAAAGTTGATGTTTGGAGTCTAGGTGTAATATTATTTGTTTGTCTTTGTGGATGCTTACCCTTCTCAGCAGCTGATCAAATTTGCAAAGGAAAATACTCTTTCAAACAATGTATTTGGTCTTCGGTTAGTGCTGAATGCAAAGATTTAATTTCTAAAATGTTAAAAGTAGATCCAAAAACTAGATATAGCAGTTCCGAAGTTCTTAATCATAAATGGTTACAGGATCCCGATGTTATTAAGCGTTACAATGATTTATTAAATCAGGAAAATGAAAAACAGGAAATTACTGTTTCTGATTTGGAAGATTCAATAAATGAACATTGTAATAATTCTTGTCCTGAAAATTGTCTAGATATAATAGAACCACCTGCCAAACGTCATCGAAGTCTACTTATTTTTTAGCGAATCAAAAGTTTGGTTTGTTATCAGTATTAAAAGGAACAAAATGTACATGTTACATACAAAAGTACTTCTATGCTCTAAGTGATAAAATTGCCAAAATTATATTTAAAATATGAAATATTTTTATAAATAATAGTGAATAATACTTTTGATAATTGCATCCTGAGAAAAAAGCATACATTATGATGTTTTCTTCTTTGTAAAACTTGTCTAGCTAGTAAAATTTATCTAGCTTTTTCTGTTTGTATGCTAAGAGCATAGAAGGAAAAGTCTTGTTAGAATTTGTCTATTTTGGGTTTAACTCATAGTTTTTAAGTTGAGAACATGTACCTGATTTTGATTATAACATGTTGCATGTTACCTCAGTTGTGCTCCACAATAAAATGTACCTAATAATTTAAGAATGTTATGAATTGAGTTACTTTATCAGAATATATTTTTTATTATTGATGAATAATAATTATTGATGAATAATGTGCAATTGGCCCTGGTTTCATGTTAGCCAAATCAGCTGATACATCACCAGAAGCAACTGCCTCAGCTTGTTCCTAAGGCTAAATAACTTTCCTCAGTTGTCAATTCAACAGCAGTTGAGGGGTCACACCACTGTAGCATCCATTGTTGTTTTTTTGCCATTTTTTCAGGCGATTTTTTTAAGGTTAATGAACATACTAAACCATTAAAGTCCTATGGAAACTGATTCAATTATAAAAATTATTGATATTTGAAAATTTGCTGTTAGAAAATACTCCAAGTGTTCATTGTTCATTTGTTTTCAGTTATGTGTAATAAATGCACTCGGAATACTTTTAAACACTCATAATAAATTTATTTATTTTTTATTGATTAAGTCGATCATTTAAACATATCGGGAAGTTCATATTAAAATTGTAGTTGAAAAATTAAGTATAGTGCCCATCTGCTCGAATAATGTTTCCAGGATAGTTTGAAGTTCAGAGATATCTTTGGCATTACTCCCGATTACTTGATTCGTGCTGCTTGGTATTTCTTGTGTTGTATTTGTGTTTGTGTTTCGGCTAGTAATTCGCGAGTAAGATAAGACTTGAATTACTGCAGAATTTCTGTTAATATTAGGATTGTTGGTTGTAGTCTCTGTCGTAACGGAGGGAATTTTCGATTGAGCTATTCCTTGTAGACTTGGCATCCCCTGTAGTTTGTGGGGTGATTTTGACCGCGTAGTACGCACTTGACGTTCTTGTTAATTTGTCTTTCCATAAACATTTTTGGGTGTAATGTTCTACAGCGCACTTAACACACTGTGGAGTTAACTTTTGCTCGAATTTTACTGTTTTCCTCTTTCTTGCTGGTGATTTGTCAACATCGGAGCGGTTTTGCATTGATTGTAGGTTTACTAGAAATAATTATAATTTAGTTTAATTATAATTTAATCAGGCGACATAATCAGTATTAGTTTTGCAAGCTATGAGTGAAAAGGATTAAAATATGCTAATAAAGTTACATAGAAATAAAACAACTACAATTCAAAATATAACACTGCCATAAAATATATTCATAATAAATGAAATTGCATTTTGCTTTTAGGCAACTTGCGCATGAATTTCCCGACATGTGTAATAATTAAATTAATCAACCAAAATTAAAATTTTGATATTTAGATAAAATTTTCAACTGTTTATTTTGAAAATAAAGTTTTTGCTTTCAATTAAATCTTTGACACAATTTTTTAATATTATTTCAAACTTTGATGATTATAGGTTTAGTTAAATTAATCGACTTGTCGTAGGGTCCTAAAATTTTAGTATATTCTTTAGAACCATTATATCTATCAACATAAAATATTTTATAGAAGGAATTCGATCTTCACCAAAAACTAACCAGTATCTAAAATAGTTTAAGAATATTTTTTGCGAAATACATACTTCCTAACATGGTTGACACAGGGTCACAATGGGCTGTAGGGTTAACCCATGGTCAACCCACTGGTACCATATATGAACATAGGTTGACCCATGGCGACACTTATGTCAGAGCCATGGTTTGACTCATGGTCAACCCGACGGGTTCAATGCTATGGGACTGGAATGGTATTGCCATGGGTTAAAATTGCGATATACAGTGCAATAATGGTTGCATACTTTCCGTACGTGATATTGTGCTAGGCGTGGCATAAACAATAACAATAATAATAAAGGTAATTTAATTCCTGCTCCGGCTCCTCCTCCATTAACAAAATCCTTCTCAGAATCATTAAACAGAAATAACTTTCCTAATCTTCCCAATACTAATACGACTACTAATATAATGAATACGCAAAATTCATCTAGACAAACACCTGTATCTGCCAAATCTCATTATCCTGTTCAAAACTCAGAAACTAACATTAGTAGCATATTTGAAAACAATAATGAAATTCATGAACTATTTACAGATAGCACAGTTGTCAAAACCTTAAATGTACTACTTAAATTGTCCAAAGAAATCAAAAAATGTAACACAGATAAAGAAAAACAATTATTGGTATTTCAATGTTTTATGTCATTATGCATATAAACAAAAATACTTTTAATGTAATGTACTGGAATGCTAACGGTATTCAAAATAACGTATATGAAACATTAAATTGTTTAAATCATCATAATATAGATATTGTATTAATATCTGAAACTTTACTTAAACCTAATAATAAAATTTATATACCTGGATATAAAATAATTAGAAAAGACATTACCTATATAGGCTCAAGAGGTATATGTATAGTTATTAAAAATAATATTAAATTTTCACAAATTCATATTGCAAAATTGATTACTGCAGAAGCAATTGCAGTAAACATCCAAATGAATAATCAATTGATAACGTTCTGTTCTGTATACTTCCCATGTAACAAGTTAGATATCCGGGATTTAGTATCATTACTTAATTTAAACAGTAAAATTTTAATAGCGGGAGATTTTAATTCAAGACATGAATATTGGAATTGCAGTAATAATAATTTAAATGGTAGAAAACTATTCGATTTCCTGATTAACAACATAAATAATTATACTTTGCATTACACATCCTCCCCTACTAGATATCCAGTTAATCACTTACAAACTCCTTCAATCATTGATCTTGCGATTACTAACAACATATATACCAATTATTTACCATACACTATCTCAGAGACAAATTCGGACCATAACCCAGTTATTCTTCCAATTCCATATCAAAACAGCAAAAATCAAGTTTGTAGTACAGCTGCTTCATTAAATACACCAGAACCAAGTAACTTAAAATACAATTACAAATAGGCAAACTGGAAAGGTTTTAGATCGTACGTTAATAAAAACATTACATTTGGCAAACATATCAATAATACTGAACAATTAGAGGTATCGGTTCAACAACTTACAGATAACATACAAATGGCTATGAATAAATTTATACCTAAAATTGATAAGAATAACTACCTATCAATACCTACCTATATACTCGAACAAATTAAATATAAGAATAAAATTAGAAAAATGTGGCAAAAAACAGGTAATCCTGCCGTTAAAATGTTGTTGAACAAATTAACCAAAGATATTTCAATTAAAATTAATGAACACAAAAATAAAATGTGGAATGCCAAGCTTAATAATATTAATGTTAATCCAAACAATGTATGGTATCTTGCTAAAAAATTTACTAAGAAACAAGAAAGCATTCCCTGTCTGAAACTAAACTCGAATTACGTATCAAATAATGAAGACAAGGCGAATATCTTTGCTGACGTCTTCGAAAAAATTCATAAACAAAATGATGGACTGGGAAATTCTGAATTTACAGATTATGTCAATGCAAAAATAAACTCAACACTTTTAAACCCTCAAGATCACCTCATAATTAAATATACTACGCCAAAAGAAATTAAAAATATTATTCAACGAAGAAAAAATAAAAGCGCTCCAGGCCCGGATGGTATACCAAATATTGTACTTAAAAATGTAGGCAAGAAAACTATAATCCTAATAACCAAAATAGTAAATAGTATATTACAACTTAACTATTTTCCATCCATATGGAAAACTTCTAATGTCATACCTGTAAAGAAACCAACAAGGATAGTGATCTACCCACCAGCTACAGGCCGATTAGCCTGCTAAGCCACTTAAGTAAAATAGTTGAGAAGGTAATTCACATTAGAATTAATAAGTATATTGGAAAATAAAATAATACCAAATTTTCAATATGGGTTTAGAGAAAAACATTCTACTCTCCATCCGTTATCAATAATTACAGAAGAAACTATTCTCAAATTCAATCAAAGGAGAAATAGTGCAATGGTAATGCTGGACATTGAAAAGGCATTCGATACAGTATGGATTAGTGGTCTGTTATTCAAAATGATACAATTGAAGTTTCCAAATTATCTAATCAATATTATTAAGAGTTATCTCTGCAATAGAATGTTTTATGTTAGTTTATATAACAATAAATCTACCAATAGACATGTAACTGCAGGGTACCACAAGGTAGTATACTGGGTCCTATATTATATTCTATCTTTGTCTCTGATATTCCAAATAATAATGACATCAAACTATTAATGTTTGCGGATGATATCGCAATTTTTTCATTTTTTTTCAGGTATATCTGAAAATTCAATTATTATGCGGCTCCAAAATCAACTGGATAAAATTTTAAAATATGCACATAAATGGAAAATTAAAATAAACTATGACAAAACTGAATCATTTTCTTTACCAAAAGACGAAAAAATCCAATACCATCGCTAACACTTCAAGTACATGATATTGTAATACCATGGAATAATGAAGTTAAATACTTGGGACTGTCGTTGGACAGAAAATTTAATTTCAATGTACACATAAAAAATAAAATTAACCAAGCTAAAAAGATTTTGTACATGCTAAACCCATTAATGAAATTCAGAAGCTGTCTTAATGTAGAAAATAAAAGAACGTTATACCTGACTATGATAAGACCAATCTTCACATATGGATGCCCAATCTGGTGTATGACAAATAACC